AAAATTAATTTTACTATATTATGATTAAATATTAATTTTATTATTATTTTTTTAATTTAATAAAATTTGAAATATTTCATTATATTTTTGCATTCTTCAAAATAATTTCTATTTATTTTTTATTATTTTGTCTTCCACAGTTTAGTTAATTTTTTCATTATATTTCAAAATATTTTTGCTGTGCATTAATTTCAAAAATTTTTTTGCAATATTGCAAAAATTTTTCATAGTGTAATAATTTTGAAATTTATTTTGCATTATTTTGAAATATTTTGCATTTTGCAAAAATTTTGAAATTTCTTTTGTATTATTTTGAAATTTTTGCACTATGCAAAATCTTTTAAAATATTTTGCATCTATAATTTTGCTGATGATATATAATTTATATTTATTCTAAAAATAATATAACACCTAATATTTTCTTTTAAAGCAATGTTAAGCTTCATATCATTTTAATATATCTGTTATTTACTGACTCTTCAATCTTTAACTAAACTTAAAATACAACAATTAACTAAATATAAAAAGTTTTTTAACTTCATCTTTATCTTATTATTCTTAATAATTTTAATATATAAGATAATATTCATAATTATTTTTCTAAATACAAACTTATCAACTTTTTTAACTACTCCAATATGTATAATATTAATATTCACTTTGATAAAAAAAAACCACTTTATCTAATAATATCAACAATAATCATATTGATTACATTTGAACTAATTAATTTAATATATAATTCCTTCTCTCTTATAACCTTAATAATAATCAAACCTTTACTTCTAGTTCTCTTTTCTACTTAAACCTTTCTACATATCTATAACAAACCCTTGCACAAACACACAAGCATCAATCACTGCTTATTTAACTACAAGACTATAACTGCAAAGGATTGGAACTCCTTTGCAAACACCTTTTCTCAACAACTTTAATTACACAAAACTCCTACTAATAATGAAAATCATAAAAGCATTGAAACTATCTAGTCACCAATCAATTAATTGAATTCAAAAAATGCTCCACAATCAATTATTCGGTAGGCTGGTAAATTGTAATTTATTTGTGATTCATCCGTACTATCTAAAAATTCGAATGGAGTAGAAGTAAAAAAAAACAAATTGCATAAATTATATCAGATCCAAAGATAAATAAATATTCTGTTTGCGAAACATTAGTCCAGTGCAAATACTTACTACAATTTCATAGTTTACAAACTTTTTAATCCTTGCAAATATTCAAATTAGTATTAATGCGAAGGTAGGCAGCATCAACAGTTATCGTGATATCATAAAAATAATTTGATAGAAGATAGCGTAAGTCCTGCATGAAAAAAAATCAACATTTTGTGCGCACAATTGCTACACCAAATCAGACTTTTGATAAGGTGACACGACATATTTCTGCATATTTCTCAAAAATCACTTAAATCGATCAAGTTTTTTAGATTAGATGTAAAGCCATATTGGATACTTATCAGATTTGATAACCTAGCGCTAGTGATTACTAATCAGAATTTATGTGTTTATCATATCAATATCGATATCGATATACAATTATGCATTAAATACGTTGTCCCAATTTAAGATTAATGTGATAAATTCGAATTATTAAATCCGGTTCCACTTAATTAATCTACTAGGCAACCTAAAATATTGTGATAACCATTCATCCCGTTATGTACAAATAGAGAAGTGATATGCACTTGCAATTTGCATAAATTCACATGTTATCGAAAAAAATTTCGATCGAAAATTTTACTATAAAAGGGAGTCTCTAAAATCTACGATCCACTATCATGTCATTATGTTTGTTAGTTTTCTTTCTATCTAAAGTTCAAGTCTGGATTATTTTTTTAATTATAATTCCTAAAACTTATTCATAATTTTATAGAATCGATTTATTAACGCCTTAGCTCTAATAGTTTCTGCAGTTTTTTATTGGGTATATCGAGTATCTTCTCCTTTATTAAGGGTGAGTAATCAAATTAAATGTTTTTATAATAATATAAAAATTTTCTTAAATTTAAACCTTCTATAGAGATTACGACACCAAAAAACTCCGGAAGAACAAATTAGAGATGAACTCGCGGTAGCAGAAAATTATGAGGAATGGGTCGAAAAGGCAAAAGAACTGGATGTGTAAGTACAAAATGATACATCTATTTTCTTCATTTTCTTTATACAAAAATATATATATGCAATGTAAATCTTTATCTGTTATTATACAAGTCTTTTAGGTATGTATTTAATAGAGTGAAATTTTAAAAAATATTTTATTAATGTTAAAGTATACATGATAAATAATAATTTTATTAGACAATGATGAATGGAAATTGGATCCTGCATCTCCATATTATGACTATAACCTTATTCAGAGCAGATTAGGTCATCTTAAACTAGTTAGGGACAAGAATGATATTTCATCAATGATCTATATGTTGAGAACAGGTTCATAATTATTTTATATTTAAAACTTTTTTAATTAAATACTTGATCAAACTTTCATGAGATTACTATCGTGAATTTAGGCCTTTTACGGAGCTTAGGAGGTTTGAATGATCCTCGGTTGTTCAGTCAATCATATTTAGGGTAAGTCTTTATTAGTAAACATTTGATTTTTCAATTATATTTATTATAAAATAAATTTATAGAACAAAGAAGTTGATCGAAGATTATACGGAAGAGGTTGCAACTCAACTTGAATATATTAATCAGTCAGATTTTTCGGATATTTCTCATACTTCTAAGCTCGATTTCTTTAATGATACTCGTCAAAGTTTTGGTTGTACTGCTTTAGTCCTTTACGGTGGTGCATCTTTTGGTAAAATCATGATTGCTTATGTATTTTTAATTCTTCTTGAAAATTGTAAAGTGATTTTAAATATTAATTTGTAGGGCTTTACCATCTTGGAGTTGTGAAAGCACTTCATGAAAATGGATTGTTACCAAGGGTTATATGTGGTACTGCAGTTGGTGCTTTTATAGCTGCTCTTGTGTGCGTTCATACTGATGAGGAATTACCAGTAAGAAAAGTTCTTGCATACCCTATGAAAAAGTTTTACGAAATTTTAAATGAATTATACGGATCATTTAGTATAATTCCATATTACATACGGAATTCGTCGCAAATTCCGTATTTTATATAATGAATATGCATAAGGAATTAATTCATTACTTTATAGATTCCGTATATAAAATACGGAAGTTGCGGCAAATTCTGTATGTAATACGGAATTATACTAAATATTCTGTATAATTCGTTTAAAATTCTGTAAAACTTTTTTCATAAGGATAGTAAAGTAATAATAAATGTATTATTAACAGTTTGTTAACAAGGTTAATGGTTATTAGAAAATCTTTCAACCTGGTGGAATTGATTTAGGAGCTTTTACCAAAGTTGGAAGTAAAGGCAACATTCACAGAAAAATCACACGATTCCTCAAGCATGGTGATTCTATTTCTACTAATTGAATATTTATAATTGATTTTATAATGATGCCAAGTTTAAGCTTTTTTCTTTCTTTTATCAAGGTTATTTGTTAGACATCAAAGTTTTGGAAGACTGTGTTCTTAAAAATGTTGGAGATCTAACCTTTGAAGTAAACTATCAAAAGTAATTAATTTATACACGCGTTAAATTCATAATAATAAACATCGATATAAAATTTATAGGAAGCATACGAGAAATCAAAACGAGTTCTCAATATTACAGTTTCATCCACAAGGAAATTTGAAGTTCCTCAGTTGCTAAACTATTTGACCGCGCCCAATGTTGTGAGTATTTATATAAATGATTTGATATGTTTCATGTATGTACGACATATGTATTAATGTGTAAAAATCAAAAACTAGTTAATATCAAGTGCTGCTTGCGCTTCGGTTGCCATAATGGGTCTCTACGATAGTTACGATTTGATAGCAAAAGATAAAACTGGCAAACAAATTCCATGGGCCACTGGTGTATATAAATTTTAATTATCATGACTATAATAAATTAGTAAAATATATTGAAAACTTAACATATATGGTTTTATTTAGATATCAAATTTAAGAAATGGACAGATGCGGCTCCATCTGAAAGGTACGAGCAATAATCGTTTATCCATTTTATAATTTTAAAATTCATCAATTAAATTCATGTATTATTATCTTGTTTCTTCTACGCGATAGTGACTCTCCATTAACAAGACTTTCAGAATTATTCAATGTTAATCATTTTATTGTATCTCAAGCAAATCCTTGTATTGTTCCATTCATGTCCCGAGAGCAAACAACGCGAACAAATTTTTTGGTAAAATGTGGATATTTTCTATCAACTGAGATTAAACACCGAATATTTCAGGTTATATCTTATTTGCATGATATAATAAATGAACATATTATTATATGTTGAGTTATACAGTTAATACTTTGTCATTAATCAACAGCTTGAGCAAATGCGAGTTCTACCACGAAGACTTCGTGGAATTGTTGATGAAAAAGTGTCAGGGGACATTACTATCGTGCCCTCTATTTCCATTGCAGTGAGTATTTAACATATTAGTATCTGAACAGAGTAAACTTTACTAATAACATCAATATCTATAGGATTTTAAAACCTTGTTTTCTAGCCCAACTCACGAATCATTGGATTATTGGATACTAAAAGGAGAACAGTCTACATGGCCTTTATTGGCATTGATAAAGAATCGATGTAATATAGAATTGGTTCTTGATAGAGGTATTCCACTCGATATCATTTCTCTGTTGATATATTTAATTAATTTATACTAACAAACATTCTTCTAATCTTAATCGCCAATTATTGTAACAACTCAAAATCTATATAACCTAATTGCTAGCGTATTTTAAATTGAAATCTAATCCGGTTGAACGAACTAGTTATTATTACAATGCTAAAAATAATGGAGCACGAAAACGTACTAAATCTCTTCATTAAAAATCATTTGAAAGTGTTTAATGTAAATGAATATAACTCAATTCAATACAATATGAGTTTTGGTATTAATAATGTACGAGTCCTAAAGCTGAATATATAGAATAATAAATTGAAATATATTTAATATTCAAAAAATGCAGTCATTCACGAAAGAAAAAAAGATGTATTATCCCCAAATGTTTTTAATCTTTCTTTTTAAAGCAATTCTATCAGTCATTTTAGCAACTTTAACCTCCTCTTTTTCTATATTCATCAAAGCTCTGCTCAATCCTTTTTTTTGACGTCGCTTTGCTTTAGCTGTAGGGTGTTTGTTGGATGTTTTCTTCTTAATCTTGCGCAAAATGGTGTCTGCACCGAGAATTTTGCGTGTAAGATTGGCTTGTGGAGAGGAAAGATCAGTTGCGACGAGTGCTTGTGATAACATTGGATGATCTTTTTTTAGAAAGTAATTAAGTGTTTAATGTTTAACCAATTCTGCAGTTTGTAAAAAGTTTGCAATAACTAAAGTTACCTGATGAAGTTGAACTAATTGAAAATGACAAAGAATCTACCATCACATTGTTAGCTGTTAATGGTTTATCAATTTGCATTTTGCTTCGTTCTTTTAATTTTAATAAAATTTTTTTCGTTTTTAGTGAATCTAATAAAGTTTGAAAGTTAAACATCATAATGAAATAACAAATTCAATATTCGCATACTTGGTTTGCCCATCTTTTATGTAGTTAACAAATAATATTAATCTCAAAGTTTCTTTTTAATGTTAATAATAATCACCGAACGAAGAACTTTACAACTGTATGAAGAAAAAGAAAAATAAGCACAGGTATTTTTTTTGCCAATTTATTTGTTTATTTTTCCGAATATAAACAGAAAATAAAGTTACTACACTGATCGTATTGTAAAAATGATTAAAATGATTGGTATGTAATATTTCTATTCTTGGTTTCATCGAAAGCACATGTTATAGTACATAGCATATTTGCTTTGTCTATTTTATGCACGTTGAACAAAAAACTAGCATTGAAGCATGTATGACACCATTAACCATTCACTAGTGCTACTTCAAGAGGCTTCGTACAATGATAGAAAGTAATAATATTATACTACTGCTATTGAAAAATTCTTCGTTATTTAGAAGACGCGTGAGATATGCACATACTTTTAGGAATGCGTCTCTTTCATTCTGACACTGGTTCTCTCGAAACCCTTGCAAATCATCGTTTATTTGTCTTTTTAAATAACGATTTTTTTATACTTGATTGACTTCTAATAATTAGCTGAGCTGCCTGTGTTAACTCCTGTTCCCACATATAAATAGGGGTGGGATCATTTGCGAAAATGGATCGGTTTTAACCAATGAAAATCGTGATACGTAAGACTTTTAAGAATGTTTTTCAAGTCATCATACATATCAAATTCTTTGAATAATCTAGATTCTACAATCTTATTTTCTTTTTTAATAAATAATGGATTTTCGGAATAAATTTTAATCTATATTGGTAAATGATAATCATGTAGATTGTTTCTGTGTTATTATCATTTATGAAAGTATTGCTATAAAGAATAAATTCTTTTTACGTATTTTGAAATTAAAAGTAAATTTAGAGCACTAAAAATATCTTGTTTAGGCGTAAGACCACAATTTCATCATCCTTTGTGTTGCCGAGAGTGTCGGCGATAGTGGTATTTATGGCAAAAAAAAACCTTTGATGACAAAAAGGGGGTCAATGGGTTTGAAAAAAACGCAATATCAATACCTGAAACCAAAATTCATCCTGTCCATTAGTTATCCATACTAGTCAATGATTTTTTAATTCTTTATTCCAACCATTTACGTATGTTTGTATGTATAGAAGCATTTTGTACAAGAACGATTAGGCTTCATTTCACAAACTTATCAAAAATGAATTAAAATAGAAAGTAATGGATTATTATTATTTGTACTCTATTATAAAGTTTATTTTTTTAAATTAGGTATAGACCCTTCGGAAGCTCCTTTGTTTGCAATTATGAGTTTCATTTATTATCAGCATTTATTATATACATTCTTAATATTTGTTAAATCGTATTTGAAGGTTGATCAACACGAGAGTTTTCTTAGTTTCGAGTTATAAATATCCAAGTTTATTCAGTTATTAAAGTGCACTTAGAAATCGCGTATAAAATGATATATTTTGTATTATTGAATATTAATTTAGGAAATGGCGTTTTTTTGTCTTCCTAAAATATACTTATTCTAATTGTAAAACTTCAATAATGTATGTTTTTAATATGTACTATTTGTTGGTGTTTGGGGGCTGAGAAAATTCTATCGTGATTTTTACTAAATTTGCGGATTCCGCGGCGGTATATTAACAGTACATACTTGAATGTTAATATATATCGATATACGATATACTGATACGTAGGAAATTGATATTTCCACACCCTTTTTTGATATTGCCACACCCCTGTTAATAAAAATCAATACATATAAATTATTAGGGTTTTGGTTAGGATTTGAGTTAGCAGGGGTGTGTCAATATCAAAAAGAGTGTGGAAATATCAATTCTCTATATATATCGATATATATATTATCATTCTTGATTTATGCAAACTAAACAATTTTTCATGTTTTTTTTTTTTTTTTAATCGTAAAATTTCACAGGCGAACTTTTAATATGGATAATATATAACTTATTTGTTATTCCAACCAGACATTTTAAACAGTACCCATCTGCATTATCTAATTGGAGTTACCATTATTGAAATTGTTATTAAATATAGGTTGTCTGCATATACTAAAAATATAAATCATTGATATAAACTAATTACTAGTTACATCATTAAGATTGGGTTGAGGATATTAATCCGTTACAAACAGGCGGTTAACTACATGAACCGATTTTAACTAGCATCATAAAACTGTTCATAAATTTATATCACTAGTCCAAGTGCCAAAACCCAACATATAGTCGTATTATTTCAGTTTAATTAATTGATTGCTGGTGCTGGATATATGTGGTTTATGCTTGTTGAATAAATCTTCAGCTAGCCGAATGCCAAGCAGAAAGCCGACATAAACCGGCATATATTCAACACCTTTAACAATCAATTAACTAAACTGAAAATAATATGAATGCACCCGACTCTGAATATACCAACTCAGGTTATAACGAAACGAACAAGGTCTGGCAGAAACGGCTTTTTATAAACATTTAGGTTGGTGGAATTACCCAAAGTGCCAGTGACGTAAATGATCGACATAACCACAGCTAAATAATTTCCACCAATCAGGGGATGGACACTAGATAGTATCATTTTTTTACAAAACTTAATTATATAAAATTTTTCAATCTCATCACATTATTTCATTATATATACTTCAAAACTGATTTCAAGTTGTTATTTGTTATTTTTTTTTAATGTTAAGATAAGTACTTGTGACCTAGGTTTTTATTAATAATATATTTTAATTTTGTGATTGTATTACAAAAGTCACAAAAGGCAATTATGAAAAGAGTGTATAACTAATCATTTATACAACTTTAGTCATTGTTTAATTTAAGTAGTCCATCTGAAGGTTCTACATTAACTATCATATCTAAAACTTATTTGTAAGTTTTTTATTTAAATATTCTAGTTTTTGTCTCTATTCATTTATTTATTTTATCAACTGTTTTAATTTTTACTAGTACAAATATATTATTATTATTAATTCTTTAAAATAATTCACTTATATAAAGAACTTTTGATCTTATATTAAATTTACTAGAGTTTTCTATTATTTAATTTTTAACTAATTTAGTATATTTGTAATTAAAATAACTCTTAAATTTTTATATCTTTGTAAAGTTTATATAATTTCAATAATCTTCTTTACAATTTTACTAATATCTTATACATTTTTGTAAGTTTTTCTATACAACTAATCTAGTTAGTTCTGCATAATGTAACTTTATATTTAGTTCAACTAATAATCAGGTTATAAACTTTTTTATTTAAAATTCTTGCTTATATAGTTTATTTATTTTAAGTTTCTTTTTTTAGATTATAATTTTTGCAAATAATACTATCAAAAATTATATTACTTTTTTATTTAGGATTTTTAAACAAAACTTTTTATAAAGTATATACTTTCTGAATTTATTTAAAGTTAGTTTCGATATAATCAAAATTATAAAGTTACAATCTTAGATATCTTAATTAAGTTGTTAGAATAGAATTATTTTTTAAAATTCTATTATTAATAGGATTTGAATTCTGAATCTATTACTTAAAAGATGATAATATAACTACTAAATTAGGATTACTATTCTCTTTTTAAGTTATTATTAATCTTATATATTTATATTTTTTTTTAACTCTATTTATAAAACAACTTGTTATTAGAAATAAGACAAACAAAAGAATTAGAAGTAGAACTAATTAGAAAACAAGAATTAAATAGTATGATTACAAATTAGTTAGTAGAAATATTGACATGAAACAAAAAGAGAAACAAGAAAAAATATAGTTTTTATACTGATAGAGTATTATACAAAAAAAAAGAAAAAAACAATACAGAAAGAATGGATATTGGTTGGATATAAGTAGAAGAAAAAAAAGATTGATCAGAGGAAGAAACTGCATTGGAACTTAAAAGTTGACCCTCAGCAACAATTGCAAAATTAGCAGCAATATGAACAGTAATTCTAATAGTACTAAAAAGAAAAAGTGCAGAAGTGTTTACAAACAGCATTACAGCATTAAGAAATATTAATAAAGTATTTTAAAATGTAGAAGAGAAAAGAATCTTGAAGAAGAAAAATGCAATATAAATAATGAACATTGTAGGTCTAATCAAAAGCAAGAACATTAAGATAAAAATAACCAAGATTAAAAGTCATAGTAAAAATAAGTAGAACAACAGAGCAAACTCTCTTGTAAAAAAAGAAGCAAATTACTAAAATAAAATATATGTAGATAAAGTTAAATGTAATAGAATAAAGTACTATTTAGAATAGAAAAACAAGAAAATT